CTGAGGCTTGTGATGGCTCCATGGGACGATTTTGGCTCTAGAAACAGGATCAGGAAGCCAAGAAGAGCTTGGAGGGAGTCCAATTGCCACCTCTAGGCTGAAGGCACTTAGGTCCTGGAGGTTTCCCTTAGGTCTCCTCTCCATCCCTCCCTTTTGGCCCCATCGCCGGTGCCTGGCTTAGACACGGCTCAGCACGTTCTCAGCTGAGCCGGCCTGACGAGGCCTCTGCCGTCTGCCTCCGCCACAGGGTGTGAACTAAGCCGTGAGAAGCAAACCTACACGTTCCAGATCCCGCAGAAGTGGAAGTATGAGCAGCAGCTGGCCCTGCGGACGGTAAGTGCCTTGCTCGGAGAGGTTCTCTGGGCAGCGGGTGGGGCTGGGGTGTCCTTGGAAGCTAATCTAGAGGGGCGGAGAAGAAGTTTCCCCGGCCTAGGTCCTGGAACCGCCGAGGATGCAAACGCTGCAGGCAGAGAAGAGACTAGCTCATTACTCGCTTGCCTCATTCGTGCTTGTTGACCAGAGCCAAGGGCGGGTTTATGTGCTCCAGGCCTGCAGCCCTCGGGGTCCTGATCCAGGCAAGCCGGGGGATGCGAGGCCTGAAGTTCCCCACCCCCACTTTAGAAGGTTCGCCACCTTTGGCGTACAAAACACCAGGACACCTCCTGAGCCCATCAAACTGGACAGCTTGGGGGGGGGGGGTGCTGACTCCTTTCCAGACCTCCTGGGCCAGCTACCCGCAAGAGATGGTCCTCAGAACCTGGCTGGGGCCAATCCTAGAGCACTGATGGAGCCTTTGCCAACATGGCTGGAATTCTCTTACTAAAAGCTGACGACTCCTGCTCTCCCCCAAAGATCTGCCTAGGTGAGCGAGCCAAAGACGAGTTCAATGTTGTGGAGATTGTCCCCTCGGAGGACAGCAAGGATACCACGCCCGTGCCCCTAGCAACCCTGAAACCTTCAGTACTGCCCATGGTGAGTGCCGCGGGGGGCACGATGGCGTATGGGAGAGAGGAGTCTTTCAGGGTATGTCTCGACTACATTGTTTTTCTGAAAAAACTTCACCTGCGTCCACACTGCGATCGCGTTCTTTCGAAATTAAATCGAGAGAACGCAGGGAGGGTTTTCGACATCGGTAAACATCAGATTACGAGGAAGAACGCTGTTTTCGAAAGAGCTCTTTTGAAAAAAGGCGTGTGTGGATGCAGAACAGGGACATTTTTCGAAAAGAGGCAACCGAAAAAAGCCCAGGTGCCCCGGTGCTCATTCTGTGCATAGCAGTCGGGGCTTTCTCTCGAGAGGCGTCCATGCAGTCTGGACGCTCTCTTGCGCAAAAGCTGATGGCTTTTTCAGTCCGGTTTTGCGATGCGGATGCTCTTTCGGAAGAAGCTTGCAGTCTAGACGTATCCATAATGGACTCTGCGGGAGGACAGGGGGACACGGACCTGGGATTAGCTCTGATCAAGCAAAACACCCAGCCCAGCTGGGAATGACTCCTGGAGCGAGACTCTGCTTGCTAGAAAGGCCAGGCTTGGTGCAAGCAGGAGTGCTGCCCTGGGTGGTGGACAGGCTGGAATAGCAAACGGGAGGGAGGGGAAGTGCATGAACTGAAGGCTGAGTGCACCTGCGCAGCCGCCCGCTCCTGCCAAAATAAGTGTGCCCTCGTTTCCGCCTTCCCGAAGACCGTGCTTGAGGATCCTGCCAGGCCTCAAAGCAAACCTGTTTTCCAACTTGACAGGGCGGTTGCCCTGTATTGGCAAGGCAAGGATGAAAACAGCCCTGGGGACCAATCACAAGCAGGCATGAGGCAGCCAATCAGGGCCTGGCTGGGCCCTATAAGGAGGGCTCCTGGACAGGAGGAGCTCAGTGTCTCTCCTGCTTTGGAGGGAGAGGGACCTAGCTGCCGGCTAGCAGGGTGCCTTGGATAGAGCAGTGCGGGGGGGAGCCAGGAGAGCTCAGGCTGAGGCCTGGTGACCGGGGACAGGGAGGTACTAGGGCTGCAGAGGAGCAGCCAGGGCAGGAATCGGTGGCAGGTCCAACTCCCTCAGGCCAATGATGAAGTGGCCAGTTCTGCCCCGGAGGGAAGCCAGGGCTAGAGGCTGAACCTCAGTGGGGCACTGAGGCACGTGGTGGGTTGCATGGGAGAGGAGGACCCCAGAACAGGGGCGCTGCTGCGGGGCCCGACCCAGGGGAAGGGGCATCACAGTCTGCAAGAGACGTGGGGGCCGAGGCCACGTGGGAGGAGAGCTGGGGGGGAAGCCAGGTGCTGGCAGGCGATCCCGTGCTAATCCCGGACTGGCCAGCACGAGGCGCTGTGG